GCCACCTCCCACTCCACCTGAACCCCCAAGAATGACCCGCGTCACAATGCACTAGCACAGCGAGTGACCAAAGAGAACATGCGTTGGGAATGTTGGGACTTTTACCAGTCAACATAGAGATCAAGGACAACAAGACAGAGATGCATCAATGACTCCAAGAGATATATATATATATTGCTCCATAAAGAACTAAAATGGGAGTGCTTTCTATATACATTACAACTAGTTCCCTTATAAAAGAAAAAAATGAAAAGAAAACAGACTGAGAAACAATGGTATAGTTCTAAACTATCATTGTGATAATACAGTATATAGAAAGTGTGATTGTGTGAGTGTATGGATGTATGTGTATACTCCAGAGTTACCAGACTAGTGTTGTATTCACCTGCCTGCAAGAGCAGAGCTTTGCTGTAGTTTGCAAGCATCATAAGTGTACCCCCTTTGTTATGTGACTTGACTATAGCTTTGAGTCTTTCAATGCAGACGTTTTACTGGAGGGTATGCGAGAAAATGAAAATCCCATCATTTTTATGTTCTGGGATAGTTTTGACACTTTTTTTCAAGCTCAGTGATATGAGTATCATTTTGCTTTTGAACTCCAGTGATGACAAAGATCAATTTCCAAGGAGTCAAAGATACAAACAACCCTTTCTGATGATGACAGAGCTCACCAAAGCTCTAAAAACATGAGAGGCAATGATGAGCAATGAACAACTGATACAATTTTTCCTATTTTTTTATTTTTTTATTTTTACAAGAGGATATGTGAAAAAGAGGTAAGCCATCAAACTCTCACACTGTGGTTGCCATTTCTGCTGCTAAGTGATGTGATGATGTGGCAGTCGTATTACACTCTGTGATGAAAATAGTCAACCAGTGAGAGGAGGAGGAAGAAAGAGAGAAAAAAAGAGAATTGCCAATCATTCCAGAGGAAAGAAAAAGAGAGAATATTAGTGCATTATCTCTCAAGAAAACATGTATTTCTTTCCAATATTTCTGCATTTTATTTTATTTATTTTTTCATTTTGTTTTAATTATCACCCAGTGGAAAGAAATGGCTCAAGCACTAGCTAGAAATGACTCCCAGACAAAAGCTCAATGGCAAAGAGTGGACGAATAAGCACAGCACAAGTCTGCCGCATGTCTTTCTGTAAGATTGTAGTCTTTTATAGGAATGTTGTTATATTATTTGGCTCCCCTTTTTATAAACGGCATTATCCAAGGCTTTAAACATTTGTGTCAGCAGTAATTGTTCTCTCTTTTTTTTGTATTATGTATCTAAATACCGACAATAGCTGTATCTCAGTAACTTGTATTGATATTTTACACTTTCTGTTGATGTTTTATTCATGACATGATTTGATTTTTGCCATCTTATTTATAACACAATTATGTTGGAAGTCTTTCATAAGTGTTTCATAACCAGTATATACATTTTATCTGTCTCTTTCTGTGTGTCTATCGCTATCTTTCTATGTATCCCTCTTTTTATTAAGCAGTGGCTCCAAATATTATACTTTGTGATTTTGTGTTTTGTGAATTCCACTTAACGTTGGATTCATCTCATAATCTTTTGTAACAATTTGCGTCACTGTCAGTTTAGGGATACTTCTTATTTTTCCCTTAAACACGTTGCCAGAATATTCTCCAATTTTGGACAGCAGCAAGAACAGACCATTTTCTAATAATAAATATTGTAGTTTCATTGGAGGATTCTGTTCCATGAAATGCTGTAGCTATTCTGTGACAAGGGCCTTCAATATGAGAATATTTGTCCAAGTAGTGTAATGCTGTACAAAAGGTCTTATTTTTTCCACACAAGATTTTACTAAAAGCTGCAAATGGTTTAGCATGGTCAAAGATTTTAGCATAGTTTTTTCTCCTATTAAAAGTATAGGGGTTGATAAGCCAGTACTGTAAGTTTTTGACCATTTAGACGAAGATTAGATGACGTTTGCATTTTTTCTTACAGGCAAGGTTTGCTTCATATGATTGCATCTCCACTAAAGGTATCTTAGGCTGGTATGTCCACCTTGAGAAATCTAAAGAAAAAAAAATGATTATTAACTTCTAGCTGCTATATTTCACTTTGAATCACGTTACATGTTCTTTCTAAAGAAAACAGCAACAGAATACCCATGATAATGCAATTAATATTTGGTCAAAAAAAGAAAGAAAAAAAGTTTATGAGAGATATTACTTGTTTCTGTGGGATATTTTTACTTCTTTTTTCTTGAGGTATTTCCCTTAGATTAAACCGACTGCATCGCATGAGTGATTGCGATATGCCGATGATCTGTCTTGGCCAAATATGTCTTTATTGTTTTCCAATTGTATTTTCTTTTTATACATACATAGTTGTAAAATAAACATGGTTGCATGTTTTGCTTTCTTAATTTATAGAGTAGGAGATATTATGTGATAGTAAATATACTCCTTGTGTGTTCAGTTATTTTATGTCATTGCTTTTAATGAGAGCTAATGAAATATGTATTCCCAA